TGTGCAGACTTTAGTAAGTTGCAGTCTCGGGTGAGACCAAGTGTTAAATAAAATCTATATAACTAAGTAAGTTGTTAGTACTTAAGTTAGTTTGTTACTAGAGTTAAGATGTATGGTTAGTTAGTTACAACTCTGGTTAAACCAATCACTATAAAAGTGCTTCTACAGTGTATTCTCTTTTAAGAAGGTAAGCAACATTAACACAGTTCCCAGAATCAGCTTCTTCTTCGTTTCATTCTCTGTTTTTTGTTTCTTTCTCTGTTTTTACTTGAAACTTCACAGAGTGAATCATTAATTTGTTTTAATTTTAGTTGCACTTAAATAGTGCACCAATTAAAACCCTAATCTAATATGGAATAGCCATCTACTAATTCCATAATTAGATTAGATTTACTCATTACCAAAAAAGGTAATTCTAATCTTAGTGTTTTAATTTTGAATTTGAATTTGAATTTATATTATATTCATTAATATTAATATTAATTAATAATATAACTTCCAACGATAACTGTGAAATTGGTGGAACAAAATTATAATTACTGGCATTCTCAAGTATGTATCCCCTATGATTAATTGGAGAATTATATGACTTGATGGCCTTTGTTCACATTGCTCATTGCTTCTTGTATTTTCCCTCTTCTTTATTTTTATTTTGTTTTAACTTTAAATTTTGCAACATAAAAGAAAAACATATGATTGAGGGCACGGACAGAAAAATAATCATTTCCTAATATAAGAAAGGAAATTCAAAATTTTCATCGATCTCCATTTACTATTACATACATATGACAAGAAAGAAAGTTCATTAAAAACCTTCCCTCCACATCATTAATTACTAACGTACATTTTTTATATGGGTATTCTTAATATATATATTATTGATAATATTAATAACCAAATAAAACCCTTTTAGATCATAATCAAATACTATTGATCACATATCAAGTAAATCTTATTGATCTGATAACATTACTAGATCAACGAGTAGCGAAACCCTTATTAAAGACGTGTAGAGCGATGTCGATGCTAAATGGAGTAGATTTCAATAGCAGAGTAGTTAGGGGGAACCCTAACATTCGGGCAGCTACGGCGATTAAGCCTATCACAGTGATGTCAACTTTCAGAATCCCGATACCAAGAAGATTGCAAAGGCATACACCAACATCCACTTCAGCCAAACCGCTAAGGAGACTGCAGCAAGTAGGCCTTGGTTTAAAATAACCAATATTAACACATGCAGAAACCAAAGCAGTAACCGACAAGGGCAAGTTCCGGTGCTGATGAGGAAGGGATAAGGGAGATCAGCAGAGTACTGAAGAGGAGGAAAGCAGTTGAAATAACAGCTGCCTGGAAGCCATTGACAAAACTTAAAAAGTTTAATTTAGGTTTGAAAGTTTAGAGCTAGAGAATTGATTGCGAGAGATGGATTTGTGAAGTTCTTGCATGGGAATTTATAAGAGGAAATGGGTGATACATGCACATGCAAAACCTCAAGTTGTTAGATTTTAAGAGTCTTCACGGGTTCAAGTTACTGTAGTGCATAGCAAAGTCTTCGATGAGAAAGTCTCCTATCTTGTCCATCAGTGTCAATGGTGTATCCAAAATTTTAGATAAGTGGGCAATTCAAACTTTTTTTATATTTAATGTATTTTTAAATTCTATCTATTTGTTTGGTTTTTTTTAAGGATTGAGATGTCAATTATTTAATGCCTCCAAAATAGTGTATAATTACAAAAAAAAAAAAAAAAAAAAGTATAATAATAATAATAATAATAATAATATATGTATATTGAATTAGGATTATGGTTAAAAAATTAAAGTTTCTTTATATATAATATGCTAGAATTAAAAGATAAAAAGAATAAGTTGACGAAATAAATAATAAAATAAAAAAAATTAAGATTAAACTCACACACGATATCAAAGCATAAAATGAAGAGACAAGAAATTTTGTTTATTGATTGATTGTAATCTTTACTTTGACTTTTGAGAAGGTTGAAGTGGTTACTAAGAGTTGGGAGAACTTGAATTTATAAGGAAAAAGTTGAACAAAATCTTGATTTTTCAATTTTTAGTGCCCCATCCTATTAGTCTAGTGGGCGTAGTTCAAACTAATACATATATATTTTTTTTTATGTTATATAGTGATATCCAATTTATGATTATTTATTATCTTAATTGTAAAATAAACAAAGAAAGAAAAATTTAGGCCTAATACGAATAGTAACTTTGATTATATACCCTTTAATACAAAATAGATATTATGTGGTATTGAAAATTTTCTTCCTTTTAAGGAGTCTCATGGAAATTAGAGTATAAAGGTTTCTCACAAAGGTAAAATCTTATTGCACTAATTACTTACATATGAATTTGTCACTAGTTTAATTCAATATGATTGTGTTATATAATTTAATTATAGTATCTATATGGGCCGAAAGAGTAGTTGATTAAATTTTTGTAATAATAAAATATACAAACATACTAGACCAACAATACATTCTCACAAATTTCTCTCACAACCTGTCACTTGTCAGTTTGTTACTTATCAATTGTAATTTTAACAAGTGAAATCATTGTAGTTGACAAATAGAAAACTGACATGTGACAAATTATGATAGAAAGTTGTGAGATGTTGTTGTTGGTCTAGCTTTACTTTAAAATATAACATGCATAAAACGAGTAACGTATAAATAGACTTTAGTTCAATGTTGTTTTTTTTTTTTTTTTAATAAATTTGAAAGCCAATCGTTGTTAATTGCTTTGTGATCGGCCAACCTACTATGTCGTATTCAAGGAAACTAATGCATGTCCATCCAAAAAATTGGGAGAGTAAACGTTGACAAAGCTTGTTAACGTTAAGTAATATTCACTATTTAAGTACCATTTAAGGAAGTCAAATTAATTGAAGAATTATTTTTTAAATGATAACTTACTATTTTAAGTTTTCTTATTATCACGTGTGAATATAATATTCCTTAACACAATATTACAAAACAACTTTTAATATTGAACAAGTGTGTCCCTGAAATATTTATCAATCCGGTGGTGGCAGAATTAACTATCAACAACAACAGAAGATTGCCCAATTTGTCCTGTAATATAATATATTTAATTTAAAAGTGTAAACTCTTTATTAGAGATAAACTTGTTTTTATATATATGCATGATTTTAGTTAACAGTAATGGTCTAATACAACATTTTCCAAAATCATATGTATATACAAACACTAATTCTTTGGTCAGATTGATTCATATGTAAAATCATTTCAATTCAATGTGATAAACTCAAAATTTATGCAAGCTTTTTGTATGTCTATGCTAAGGCTTTATACTCAGCTACTGTGGAAAAGAGATCAACAAATTTCTATTCTTGAGAACACCATTGAATCAGATAACCAGCAAATTAACACAATAATTACTGGTGGATTTTCTATCTGATATACTACTAGCCGAATCAGCATCAACAAAACTCTCCAATACAAATCTTCACTTCTCCTGAAATATATTTATAAACTATGATGAATGGCGCCTTTAATATAACTGAGTATTCTCTTACATGAAGCCTTTTTCACACTCCAACTTCTAACCGCCAATTCCCTTATTAATCTAAATCAAACAATTACTCCATTGCAAAATGAGTTATTTTAAATAATTCTTGATAAAAGTTTAAATTGGGCCAAAGACAACAATTGACCTCGTAACAGTAGTTTAGAATATTAATATGCAGGTCCAACAATGGGTGACAAACCCAATATTACTTGGGCTAAAATCAAGTTCCTTTCTCAAAAATTGAAAACAAAATATGTTGTGGGTGAAAGGTTTCAACTATTTCAAGAAAAGCAAGAAAAATCAGAGAAGAGGTAAAAAGGAACACGCAAACGTGAGCTTGAAGAAGAACAGTAATTTTTCATTAACTACCACTTAACAAACCTAACCACTTTTATATAAAAATATAATCTAAACGCACTGTATAGTGATACAAACATGACAAATTATGATCTAACCCTTGCACTTATTAAAATTGATTTTACAAACCTTAGTCTAATATCCCCACTTAAATAGGACTTAGTCTAATATCCTCACTTAAACAGAACTAAGTCTAATATCCTTTGTTAAGTTGAACTTCCTCAATTTGATCCATTATCCCCATGTATATCAAACCTTCTGTGTTGAGCTGAGCCTTCCTCTTATGTCAATATCCCCTTTTTAAAAATGAACTTCATTCTACAACCACACTTCAGTAGTTTGGAACTTCATTCTTTTTTCTATTCTGAATTGTATTCTATAGCCACACTTCTGTAACATCAGCATAGGAACTAATAATATACCTCAAATCTTCTATTGTGATCTTGACTTCATTCAATAGCCATAACTTCTGCGGTAACAGTAGCCACAACTTCTGCAATATCATCATGGGAACTAATAACATGCCCATGCCCCAATATTCATACCAAAACAAACCTATACAAAACCAATACTACTGTGCCAAAGAGTACCATCACAGTATTCATCACTTTACTACATCATGATGAGCAACATTAAATATTTTAGATCACCATAAAGAACTAAACTACTTTTCCCCAGACCATTGTGAAGAACAGAACTAGTTAGCACTAAACTAGTGAGTAACACCGAACAATCCAACCAGTGCAAATCAATAAACAACATCAAGAGATTCAGGACAATATTTAGGCAGGTAAACTGGAAGGAACATTTAGTTTTTCCCGCAACAAGGCAAACCTTGCACTAGATAGAGATTTAGTCAATACGTCAGCCTTTTGATACTCTGAAGCAACATATTGTACCAGCAAATTTTTATTTACAACAAGCTCTCTAACATCGTGTACATCGATTTCTATATGTTTAGTGTGGGCATGAAAAACGAGGTTGGATGATAGAGCTCCAGCACTCATATTATCACACCATATAATAGGTGTGTGTGGAAGATCAATGCCAAGTTCTTTAAAGAGATGTTGAATCCATACAACTTTAGTTGCTACTTAATGCCTTGTATTTAGCTTCAGTAGAGGATAAGGACACCACTTTTTGCTCTTTGAACTCCATTGTACCAAATTATCACCAAGAAACATAGCATATCCACAGGTTGATCTATGGTCATTAATATCACTCGCCCAATCTGCATCAACATAGGCCTCTAAGTGAAGAAACTTATGTGGCTTAAACACCAAGCCATACTTTAAAGTGCCCTTAATATACCACAAGACCCTTTTACAGGCAGTCCAATGAAGAACAGTAGGATTTTGCAAAAATTGACTCAATTTATTGACTGTAAAAGCTATATCTGGTTTGGATAAGGTCAAGTATTGTAGGCCACCAACAATGCTTTGATATAAAGTTGGTTGATCAAACAAATCTCTAATTTCTTTCCCAAGTTTTGTACCAAGGGCCATAGGAGTAACACATGGTTTAGAATATTCCATTTTTGCTTTTTCCAGCAAGTCATGTGCATACTTTGTTTGAGTAAGAAGAAGACTTGAATTATTTCTCTTAACTTCAAACCCAAGAAAGTAGTTGACTGGACCCATTGTTTTAAGAGCAAACTGGCTGTTTAAATCCTTAATTGGTTGGGCTATAAGTTGATCATTATTTCCCATAACTAGGATTTTATCGACATACACTAGTAAATAAACAACTTGAGAATCATTCTTGAAGTAAAACAGGCTCACATAAGAAGTGGAGTTAAGAAAATCCCAAGAGAGTAAGGTTGCCCTTAGTTTGTCAAACCAAGTTCTTAGAGCTTGTTTGAGTCCATATAGGGCTTGACGAAGCTTGCAAACTTATGGTTCAATAGAGGATGAAACGAATACCTTAGGCTCCACCATAAACACTGTTTCAGTCAACTCTCCATTCAAGAATGCGTTGTTGACATCAAGTTGTTGAATTTCCCAATGATGATGAACTGCCAAGGAGAGCACAATTCTGATAGTGGCAACCTTCACTACCTAGGAGAAAGTATCAAAATAATCTAGGCCAAGGATTTGCTAGAATCCTTTAGCCACTAGCCTAGCCTAGCCTTATATTTTTGTAAGGAAGCATCTGAGTGTAGTTTAGTTTTATAGACTCATTTACACCCTACTACATGCATGCCTTTTTCACAGGGTACAATATCCCAAGTATGACTATCCAAGATAGATTGATACTCTACTTCCATAGCATTCTTCCATCCGCGAAAACCTAAGGCTTCCTTGAGTAACTTGGGCTCCTTAAGTATGTAGCAGTTGAAAGATAAGCATGAGTTGAGGAGGAAGGAGCACAAGACTTTGTTTTGGACCTTGTAAGCATGGGATGTGTGTTGAGAGAAGTAGATTTAGATTGTGGTAAGGACAAGGGAAGAACTACTTCGAGATAAATATCAGAAGGATTTTGTGCCTATGGAGGATGAGCTGCAGGAGCATTATTATCAGCATAACCATCTGCAGAAATAGAGGCAATAGTAGGTGTTGAGAGCACATCTTGTTGAGGACTGCTGGAATGAGCTTCTCTAACAAAATTAGAATAAATAATCAGTACTAGTTGGACCTTAAGATCGAGCTCTAGGTGCGTTATGATGCACTTGTGAATTTGTAGGAAGATTGATTGGATTACTAGTAGGCTAATCAGCGGGACAAGTAGCCTAAAGAATGTTAGGAGCTATCTATGATCCTAAGAATTCTCATGTGTGAGGGAATGTGAGCTTGCACCAGTAGAACTCGAAAAAGAAGAAGCAACTATGACTAAGGCATAGGAGATGAAGCAGTAGGATCAAGAGAAGTGGAGCTCTCACTTTGCTGAGTTTGAAACACAGACTTAAAGAGAAAATCAAACTCAATAAACCTGACCTGTTTAACTAAATAAATTATGTCTGATGAGGACATACATCTATAATCTTTGTGCGCAAGACTATATCCCAAAAATACACACTTCTCTGTATGAAAAGAGAGCTTGTGCTTATGATATGGTCTAAGGTAAGGAAAACGACTACAACCAAATGTCCTTAGTGCATGATAGGCAGTTTCAAGGTGAAATAGTAGCTGATATGGAGAAGTAGAATCAAGAACCGTAAATGGGAGTCTATTAAGCAAAAAGGTTGTTGTTTGAAAGGCTGACCACCAGAATTGTAAAGGCATAGAAGCATAGGCTAAAAGAGAAAGACCAAATTATGTAATTATTATATGTTTCCTCTCTACTCTTCCATTCTACTGATAAAGCTAAGGACATAAATGTCTAAATATAATCCCATGTTGTTGAAGATACTTAGAAAATGATATAAACTACCAACCCCCACCCCCCTTTCCCAATCAATCTGCAAGCACTTAATACTGGGGCCCAACTGTTTCTCAATAAAAACATAAAACTGAACAAAGACATTGTAAGCCCTTGAGTCCATATACCAAGATTTATCATTGATCACTTGAGGCATAGCTATATTCTAATTATTTGGTCTAGAATTGATAACACCATCACAACTGCCAGAAGGCAAAGTGACATGTCCAAATGCATCAGCTTTAAGGACAGATCCGTGAGAATCCTGCTAATGCTGAGAAACTTCTGTAGGTACAAAAGCTGAACTAGAAGTAACATTATTCAAGGGTGAATGTTCAAATCCAGAGTAATCATGAAAACTAGCAACTAAATGACTAAAAGAAGGTCTAACTGGAATGTTTGATCCAGCAAAAAAAACTCGAGCAGAATTTATTGATTATGCTGAAAGAGGATGTTGAGCAGGCATCGACTGATTATATGACATTTGTTGGTTGGTTAGATTGTAATTAGCTGCTATGAATCCTTGATACTCATGATCGAAACAATGATAATAGTGTAAGGCTCAGTGTCTTGGTTTCCCACAAACCTGACACATTAGGCAAGGTCTAGAGTATCCTCGGCCTCTTCCTCTATAAAAAAAAGGATGTCTACCAGCACCAAAGACTATATTACCAAAGTATTGAGGTTGTTGAGGAATTCCTATGTGTCCAAAATTCATAGATTGAGCTTGCTGAGGAACAACTCTAGTACTTACTTGCTGAGGTACAAAACCAATACCTACAAATCCTTGATAGTTAGGCATGGACAGATCTGTCATATTCGAAGAGCTTCGATTAGCAAATGTTATGATAGCGCTTTCAGAAGAGTTGTTCTTGGAAGCTATTAGAGTTGAGGATATTTGCTCATGAAAGTTCAGCAAAGCATTATTCTGCCTTTCTAATCTCATCTCGTGTTTGTGTAAAAGAAACAGAACTTCTTGAAAAGAGGTTCGACTAGCATTTGATGTCAGATTAGCAACAACGGCGTCATATTCTGAAACTGAACCATCCATAATATACAATAACAGTTCTTCATCCTCAATATTCACACCGCTGGCAACTAATTCATATCCTATCTGTCTCATTCTTAACACATACTCATTAGCACTTTGAGAATCTTTTTTAGTAGTTTGTAACAAGTTCCCGAAATATAGAGTTTGAGCTTTAGAGAATGATTGAAAATGTAACTCTAGTGTATTCCAGATTTCATAAGCACTAATACATTTAGATACATGTCTAAACATCAATTCAGAGATGGACGACAGTAACTAGCTTACCAGGAACTAATCCATTCTCTTCCAATTGAAGGACTTAGGGTTTGGCTTTTTTATCATCAGCTCAATCTCTTTTGACTTTTCCAGCTGAAACATAGGAGGACAAACCTTTGTTCCAATAAAGAATCCATCCAATTCATGAGAGGCTAGAGCTGGTAAAACTTGAGAATGCTAGTAATTATAATTTCGTTCCACCAACTTCACAGTTATCATTGAAAGTGAAGATTGAACTGTTGAGTGTTGTGTAATTCCATTGTCAAATTTTTCAATATCGATTTTTGAAGACTCATTTGAGAAATTAGAACTTGAATTTACCATTTTATCGACATACACTAGTAAATAAACAACTTGAGAATCATTCTTGAAGTAAAACAGGCTCACATAAGAAGTGGAGTTAAGAAAATCCCAAGAGAGTAAGGTTGCCCTTAGTTTGTCAAACCAAGTTCTTAGAGCTTGTTTGAGTCCATATAAGGTTTGACGAAGCTTGCAAACTTATGGTTCAATAGAGGATGAAACGAATCCCTTAGGCTCCACCATAAACACTGTTTCAATCAACTCTTCATTCAAGAATGCGTTATTGACATCAAGTTGTTGACATCAAGTTGTTGAATTTCCCAATGATGATGAACTGCTAAGGAGAGCACAATTCTGATAGTGGCAACCTTCACTACCTAGGAGAAAGTATCAAAATAATCTAGGCCAAGGATTTGCTAGAATCCTTTAGCCACTAGCCTAGCCTAGCCTTATATTTTTGTAAGGAAGCATCTGAGTGTAGTTTAGTTTTATAGACTCATTTACACCCTACTACATGCATGCCTTCTCTACAGGGTACAATATCCCAAGTATGACTATCCAAGATAGCTTGATACTCTACTTCTATAGCATTCTTCCATCCGCGAAAACCTAAGGCTTCCTTGAGTAACTTGGGCTCCTTAAGTATGTAGCAGTTGAAAGATAAGCATGAGTTGAGGAGGAAGGAGCACAAGACTTTGTTTTGGACCTTGTAAGCATGGGATGTGTGTTGAGAGAAGTAGATTTAGATTGTGGTAAGGATAAGGGAAGAACTACTTCGAGATAAATGTTAGAAGGATTTTGCGCCTATGGAGGATGAGCTGCAGGAGCATTATTATCAGCATAACCATCTGCAGAAATAGAGGCAATAGTAGGTGTTGAGAGCACATCTTGTTGAGGACTGCTGGAATGAGCTTCTCTAACAAAATTAGAATAAATAATCAGTACTAGTTGGACCTTAAGATCGAGCTCTAGGTGCGTTATGATGCACTTGTGAATTTGTAGGAAGATTGATTGGATACTAGTAGGCTAATCAGCGGGACAAGTAGCCTAGAGAATGTTAGGAGCTATCTATGATCCTAAGAATTCTCATGTGCGAGGGAATGTGAGCTTGCACCAGTAGAACTCGAAAAAGAAGAAGCAACTATGACTAAGGCATAGGAGATGAAACAGTAGGATCAAGAGAAGTGGAGCTCTCACTTTGTTGAGTTTGAAACCCAGACTTAAAGAGAAAATCAAACTCAATAAACCTAACCTGTTTAACTAAATAAATTATGTCTGATGAGGACATACATCTATAATCTTTGTGCGCAAGACTATATCCCAAAAATACACGCTTGTCTGTATGAAAAGAGAGCTTGTGCTTATGATATGGTCTAAGGTAAGGAAAACAACTACAACCAAATGTCCTTAGTGCATGATAGGCAGTTTCAAGGTGAAATAGTAGCTGATATGGAGAAGTAGAATCAAGAACCGTAAATGGGAGTCTATTAAGCAAAAAGGTTGTTGTTTGAAAGGCTGACCACCCGAATTGTAAAGGCATAGAAGCATGGGCTAAAAGAGAAAGACCAAATTATGTAATTATTCTATGTTTCCTCTCTACTCTTCCATTCTACTGATAAAGCTAAGGACACAAATGTCTAAATATAATCCCATGTTGTTGAAGATACTTAGAAAATG